CGAAATCTCCAGTAACGGGCGCGACGCACGGCCAGTATACACGGTCGCCCACTTCGGCTCCGAGCATTCGCCATATGACTGAAGTCGTGCCGTGATGCTGGCCAAGCATCTCAGTGGCCTCTCGTAATTGCCCGTCGGGGAGAAGGGTTTTGATCAGTGACGAGCGCCAAATTTGGAGAGCACCTCGGGCTTGGGAGTCTCCTGAGCGCGGAGGTCCGATGAACCTATCGAGCACGACCCTGACAAGAGCTGTGAATGCGACAAGTACATAGGGGCTGACGAGTGTGCGCAAGATCATCGAAAGATAATGATAGCCCACCTTCGGGCTGGACGGGAACCCCCCCAAAAAAAAAATCAACGGGGGCGACTAAAAAAACAAACACGTCTCCAACGCCAAAAGAAGGAGGGGCGTCGTGGGCACCAGGACGAACTACGCTTCTTCTAGCGTTCACCACACTTCTCTCGCCCCACATCTGCACTAAAATTACCGGATGCTATTCGCCGGTCTCATGCAGCGGGGGGACGCATCTTACCCCGCCATTGACCTCATTCCAACCACAATACCCGTCGTCTGGATGCGCCTACCTCGCATTTTGCGATGGCGTCAGGTCTCCATCCCGCTCCCACTTTCATTGTCACTGGGGCGACACACTGGCGGGCTAGCGGCGCGGTGCTGCAACTGGTTCTCGATGTCAAGCACCTTGGATACCCGGCGCTTAGGTACTGAGGTACTGTACTGTGCTGCTCTGCTGGAGGAGGGTGTGTGTGTGTGTGTGCAGGACGAACGGCATCGGTCTGAACCGGCCTCTGTGCGCCTTTGGCACTTCGTCAATACCTTGGCTGTATCGCCCATTGCCATGCCCACCAACCTTGACAAGGTTGGATGGAAGTCCATGTACGTCCACAGGCAAACAGGCACGACGGGCATTTGAGGACCAGGAATGGCCCGCCGCACCACGGGACTAAGTAGGTCGCTGATGCATGGTGCTCGGGGTGCTGTCGCATCAATCCCGAATCGTCTTCGGCCTCACCTGGCATTGGCAGGTAGGTCACCCCCTTGCCTGGTAAATGTGGGCGAGGCGTGGACCTCAAGGCAACTTCCATCGTCACAGCTCTGATCCAGACTCCACCCCGCTCTGGACTGTTTAGTATAACAACTCGCCTCCGCCCCTACCTTTCCTTTACAAACCTTTCCTCATTGAACCTCCATTTCCAGTTTCGTTCTCACCTGTTTTACATTCTGCACCAATATACCCCGTTCCTGTTGCAGAAGCTCCTACCCCGAACTATACCAAACCACCCTACACCACCCTTCCACCACACACATCTTCACAATGGGTCTCTCCGCCGAGCTCAAGACGCCCGTCACCGGCACCTACACCCAGCCCACCGGCCTGTAAGTCCTCGAGCTCTCGCGCATGATGCACTGCTCCTCATGACGTCCGATTGATCTGCCGCGACACGCACACTAACTGGACTGTCACAGGTTCATCAACAACGAGTGGGTTGAGGGCGTCGACAAGAAGACCTTCGAGGTCGTGAACCCTTCCACCGAGGAGGTCATCGTTTCCGTTTCCGAGGCCACGGAGAAGGATGTCGACATTGCCGTTGCCGCTGCCCGCAAGGCCTTCAACGGTGTCTGGCGCCAGACCACCCCCGGCCAGAGGTCCATCTACCTCTTGAAGCTTGCCGAGCTCGTCGAGAAGAACCTTGACCTCCTCGCCGCCGTTGAGTCTCTCGACAACGGCAAGTCCATCACCATGGCCAAGGGCGACGTCGGTGCCGTCGTCGGCTGCATCAGGTACTACGGTGGATGGGCCGACAAGATCGAGGGCAAGACCATCGATGTCGCCCCCGACATGTTCCACTACACCCGCCAGGAGCCCGTATGTCCACCCCTTCCCTTCTCTCCCCCCTCTTCTCAGGAGCTCGAGACATTGTTTTGCTGACCCATCTGTCCCTCAGATTGGTGTTTGCGGTCAGATCATCCCCTGGAACTTCCCCATCCTCATGCTGGCCTGGAAGATCGCCCCCGCCCTGGCCACCGGTAACACGGTCGTCATGAAGACTGCCGAGCAGACCCCTCTGTCCGCTCTCGTCTTTGCCAACCTCGTCAAGGAGGCCGGCTTCCCCGCCGGTGTCTTCAACCTGATCAACGGTTTCGGCAAGGTTGCTGGTGCCGCCATCTCCTCTCACATGGACATTGACAAGGTCGCCTTCACTGGTTCCACTCTTGTCGGTCGCCAGATCATGAAGGCCGCTGCCGCCTCCAACCTGAAGAAGGTCACTCTCGAGCTCGGCGGCAAGTCGCCCAACATTGTCTTCAACGACGCCGACATTGAGCAGGCCATCTCTTGGGTCAACTTTGGCATCTACTACAACCACGGCCAGTGCTGCTGCGCCGGTACTCGCATCTACGTCCAGGAGGGCATCTACGACAAGTTCCTCGAGGCTTTCAAGAAGAGGGCCCAGGAGAACAAGGTCGGCGACCCCTTCCACGATGAGACCTTCCAGGGCCCTCAGGTCAGCCAGCTGCAGTTCGACCGCATCATGGAGTACATCAAGATTGGCAAGGAGGAGGGTGCCACCGTCGAGACCGGTGGCGAGCGTCACGGTGACAAGGGCTACTTCATCCAGCCTACCATCTTCAGCAACGTCAAGGCCGACATGAAGATTATGCAGGAGGAGATTTTCGGCCCCGTGTGCGCCATCGCCAAGTTCAAGGACGAGGATGAAGTCATCGCCCTCGGCAACGACTCCACTTACGGCCTGGCCGCTGCCGTCCACACCACGGATCTCAACACAGCCATCCGCGTCAGCAACCAGCTCAAGGCCGGCACTGTCTGGGTCAACTGCTACAACATGCTCCACCACCAGGTTCCCTTCGGTGGCTTCAAGGAGTCCGGCATCGGCCGCGAGCTCGGCGAGGCCGCCCTGTCCAACTACACTCAGAACAAGTCTGTGGCGATTCGTCTGGGCGGTGCAATCTACTAAGCAAATCTGGGTTTCTGTTTTCTTTAAGCTTTGATTTTCACCGGATCACGGTCAAGTTAATGAGGGATATGAAAATGATTTGGGGGCTTTGAGATTGTGCAACGCCAGACATGTACATTCGAGTTGACGAAGACTAGCTGTCGAAAAATGACACCAGCAGATGAACATGACACCGAGGCTCGTTGCCTGTGATGATTACAAGCTCGCGACGTGATGCACCGAGGTGGGGGGCACAGAGGGGTAGAGTGCGGAAGGTTTTCTCTCTACCCACCGAAGCGTAACACGGTGCCGGTTGACATCGGAACGGGTCGTGCAGACACTGTGCTCGCGTGCCCCGCCAAACCCCGCTCTCCATTTCGCTGGCGGCGGAGCCTTTTTCATGGAGGTTCGCGTTTCTGACGCGAACACACTCTAGTCGGCCAAGGAACCGAGCGCCGACTTCGATTCAGCACTTTCGCCATCGCCGACATGTCTTCTTACCATCAGCGGTCAGCTTCGCAGATAGGCGGCCCTGACAAGACGTACTTTGAGCAGCAGCGCGAGGTTCTCATCGGGGAGATTGCCATGGTACGTTCAGCCGCGCAGGCCCTTCCCAGCGTTGCTCGCATCTGACTCGACGGTCCCGGACCAGAGCTTCGAGCATGTCCTCGCCAACATCAACAAGCTGAACCGCTCTCTCGAGGCTGTCACTGCGGTATGTAGCCAAGTCCCCCGAAGACTAATCTGCTCGATGTGTGATCTGATCCTAACGTTACGTCATCCCAGGTTGGCAACGAGTTCTCCTCCGTCGAAGCCCTGTGGTCGCAGTTCGAAAACGTCATGGCCAAGGAGCCGGCTGATGACAACGGTAGCAAAAGCGGCAGTAAACCCGCCAACGAGAGTCCCAGCCGACGAGACGACCAGAGGAACGACGAGGACGAGCAATAATGGTGTCGGCGTGCAGACATGGCCGCCTGCGCAACGCTCTCGCCTGCTGGGACTGGGATCCATTGCCGGCACTGGGTATACGACACTGGCCCAACGACCTGGATGTCCCCACCTGATCTGACGGCCCATGAGCGGGTTGTCATCCCGTTCTCGAGCCATGTCCTGGTTGAGTGGACTGAGCCCTGCCTCACCGCTTCAGTATGTTGACTGTGAAGCCTGTGCAGGCACACCATTGTATTGAGATATGGTTCTCGAGTGTGGCGTTGCCAGGTTGAGGAAGTTGAACCACGGCATCTGTGCAATGGCACGTCCGGTCGGGCGGGCTTGTTCTTCACGACGAAGCGGCATGTCTGAGACGACTTCTCAAGCTTCCTGTTGAGCCTGGGCAAAATGCATGTCTCGACATCAGACTACCAGTCGCCATATGTGCCACAGGTGCACCGCCAAGCTCAGGGAGGCATTATCAAGGAATTCGCCAAGTCGACAACCTGGTCGGCGCGGTCTCTTGACTTGCTGCAGAAAGGCTGTATCGAGAGGCTCGCCCGGGATCACAAGTCACATCGAGTACAACACATGAAGTGCGGGGTGCTGGGGCGGTCCCAAAGTGCAAGTGGGATGCGGTACACCTGGATGATACCCCCTGGGCCGGTGACATGCACGTGGAGTAGATACCTTGCTCAATGCATCCCCTACCTTGACAAGGACCTCTGACTCCAGACATTAAGAAGTGCTCTGGTTTTATGTTGCGCACATATGCGACGGAATCTTTGATAACAGGATTGCCGACCAAGTCATCATACCCGCCGGTGTGCCTAAGCAGATGATCTGGGATGTTGCTTACATGTGCTCTGTTCATTCTCCCTTTCCACAGAAGCAGCACTGCGGAAAGTTGCTGCCCTTGGGTCGAATAGTCAACTCCACATCCATCTTAGACAGGAGCATCGATCACAAAAGGCAGGATGTAGGGTCACGGCGCAGTAGTGTGCCCCCGGATCACCAAGACAGCCATGCAGGCAGATCAAACAGCGCATACGAATGCAAAAGTCGCTCAAGCTCGAGAGTCGTAGCCTGTCATGAAAAAAGTCATTCATTACTCCCTGAGCCCCTGGCCCCTGGCCTGGCCCCAAAGTTTGGCGGTTGTTTGTTCGCGTGACACAGAAACAAGATGAAAAAAAGAGTCCCATATCCTGATATCCCCTTGCCCGAGCCTTCCACGTTTCTCATCTTACAGCAGCTTGCAGCTCCTCTTCTTCTTCTTCGGCACGCCCACACCGGGGATGTTACCGCTTCCGCCTCCCGCACTGGCGCGGCCGCCATTTGATGACGACGACGCACCGGTGGCCATCTGGGCCTCGATGTTTTTCCGGTCGTTTGCGACAACAGTGAGAATGGCTCTCTCAAAAATCTCGTCAACGCCCGTCATCTCTTTGCTGCTGCACTCGGCATATTGGGCATTCATCTTCTTGGCGACGGTCTGGCCCTGTTCGGTCGTGACGGGAGTAAGGCCCTGGGTCTTGAGCATATCGATACACGTCCTCTTGAAGCGGAGGTCGGACTTGAGCGCAACCAGCACGAGGGGTGTGTAGGGGCAGAAGTGGAGGACTTCGGGGTACCACTGGGTTGCATTAGCGGCTTGGTCATGTCCATACGAGTGGCAAAGAGTCTTCGAGTAGGGCGTACCTTGTCCATGACGTTCTCAAGCGAGTTGGGGCAGTCAATGGCGAAACAGACAAAGATGAGATCGGTCTCGGGGTAAGAGAGGGGTCGCAGGCGGTCGTACTCCTCTTGGCCGGCTGTGTCCCAGAGAGCGAGCTCAACCGTCTTGCCGGTCGGTGGGTGCGTGGGGTAGGTGATGTAGTTCTCGAACACTGTTGGGACATATTTCTGCAGTAATACTCAGTCAGTCATGCGATCGCAGTTGGAGGTGAATGACGAGCCGAGTGACGCACCTCTGGGAAGTAGCCTTGGCTGTAGCTGATGAGCAGGCATGTTTTGCCGCAGCCACCGTCGCCGACGACGACAATCTTCTTGGAGTAGGCGGGGCCCTCGGTGAGGTGCGTAGCGGCCGACTCACGGCCGGTGGAGGAGCTCATGGTGGTGCTGACGGTGCCGTCACTGCTCCTGATACGCTGGTTGCGGCGAGCGCCCGACGAGTTGTTGTGGCTATCGTCGTACTTCTCGGTGGACAGGTAGTTGCTGGTGCTGTTGTTGTTGTTGTAGTACGAGTTGCGATACTGCGTAGACGCCATGACCGCGCGACTTGGGTCAAGCGCAAACTGCGTCTCCCGGTTCAATTAGCCTCCTTGAAGCGAATTGCTTCACTTTGAGAGGGCCCTGGCTGTCTCGGGGAAGCGGTGGCGCAAAGTGCAGAGCTGCGACTCTCTTGGTGGAGGATTGCGGTGGCTTAACGTGGGTAAAGAGAGGCTTGTTGGAATGTTGACGACTCGAACGTGGTGGATAGCGCTACTGGCGAGCGGGCGACCCTGAATAGCTACTGAGAGAGAGGGGGGTGTGATTTGGCTGGAATGTGAGGCTGACTCTTGTTTCTCGCAAAGGTGAAGCAAACGAGGCAGCGTGGGCGAAGTGGGTGTTTGTCAGGTATGCGAAATGAGGAAAGCTGAACGGGACCTCCAGAGCAGGTGCGGTGCAGTGTAAGGTACTTGAAGGGAGTTTGGCAAGGCAGGGGCAGGTGCGGAGGTTGACGACTTGCCTTGCTTGCATGTGGTAAACATGTCGACCGGGCAACTAGCCACGCTACGACGCCACGGTGACGCGAGGAACCTGCGTTATCAATCTATCTCAGGCAGAGAGGAAGGCCACGTGACCCTGCCCATAGCTCTTGTGGTCTGTGCGCTGGGTCCATCCATCTCCGCCTTCAAAAGAAAAAAGTCGCCATCGTGAACTGCGATCTCTCTGGGATTCCTCCATCACGCCCACCTCACTCGGTTCTCCAAGCTGCTGCTGGAAGACTACCCCCAGACACAGTGTCAATCGTCAGGAGCAGGTTCCTTCAAGACTTCGAGACGACACATCTCCATCAGGACCGCGCACCTGGCCGCACACAAGGGAAAGCACGCACGCTCTTTCACCACGATGGCCTCGTACTTGTCTCAGAGCAAAAACGGCTCCGAGAACAAGTACGTGACTCTCGTGTCTGGCGATGGGTACGAGTTTGTTCTGCTCCGCGAGGCCGTCATGATCAGCCCGGTCGTCAAGGGTATGCTGGATCCCCGCAGCCAGTTCATGGAAGCAGTCTCGGGGAGATGTGTCTTCACGGAGATCAGGTAAGTCTCTACTGCTTTCTGTCCTTCACTCGTCACCTTGCGCGCCACCTTGATGAAACGCTTTTCCGAGTGCTTTCCGAAAGACCATCGACAACGTTCTCGAGCGGTCTGCATGAAAAGTCTTTTTCCACGTACACTTGATCTGAGACGCAACATTGCCCGCCATTGCCTTCTCGCGGTGCCTTTCTCCCCGGGAGGACATCGACTGACACGACCAGTGGCATCGTGCTGGAAAAGGTCTGCGAGTACTTTCAGTACTGGTACAGGTATCGCGAACGGGAGGACGTGCCTGACATGGACATACCCGTCGAGCTCTGTCTTGAGCTGCTAGTCGCAGCTGACTATCTTGGCTTGGACAGTATGTTCTTTCAGACTCCCTATCCCGGGACTGTCCCATCTGACGAGCAGCAGAACAAAACTCTGGCATTTGATTTCGCCCTTCGTGGGTCCTGCTTTTCCACCCGGAGTTGGAGTTTAGGAGTGGCAGACCTACAGCGCTGCTGCTTGGCACGGCTGCTCCAGTGGGCGGTCACATACGATACGAATGTACGATTTGACGACTTTGCACGTGGCGAACACGCACTCTTCGTTTTCCTCTTGGTTGTTCGCACCTCGCCATTCCGGCTACTCCCACAAACTCTCCCCGTGACATGGACCCATCTCAGCATATGCGTTCGATTCTTCATTGCTCCGTGGATCGAACGTCTATTAGATTTGGAAGATGAATTCAGCCCCCATACTCTGCCCAGCACAAGCTCTCCGTTGGGTTTGGGTTTTTTTCTGAGGGGTTACATATCTTGATTCGTAGACAGCTTTGAACGCTGTATCAGGTGGGATAGCAAATAGACTACTACTCTCGCGAGCTTTGACTTTTCTCCCGCTTTTGTTGGCTACACACATTTGCTTGTGAATCCCTTGTAATGGGTTCCTCTGCGTCGTCCGGCCGTTCCGTAAATAGCCAGGGCCCTGCTGTGAACTCCTCAAGCACTCAATGAAATCTCCCACGCCCGCGTCCCCGTCCCCTACCACCCCTCCCACCTCGTCCGCCGCCCCGACCACCATGACCGCCTCTCCCTCCGCGAAAGCCACCCCCGAACCTCTCGCTCGGCGGCGGCGGTCCTTCTGCCTTCCTCGCCATCCTCTCGTCCTCGGTGGCGTGCCACAGGTTCTCCACCTGCAGCATCTCGCAGAATGCCGCCGTCTGCGGATTCGTGTACTCAAACGGCTGATCCGGCACGTTGCGCCAGTTCGGGCTGCCGTCGTGCGGCGGCGCCGTGAGGACAAAGTTGGCCGGGACGTCGAGGGCCGCGACATGCTCGCCGACCCAGGCGCGCGCCTCGTCGATGAGGGGCGCGTAGTGCGCCTCGCCGCGGTCGCGCGCCGCGTGGGCTGCGCGGTCGCCGATCGTGAGCTCGCCGTGGAGGGCGCGCGTGATGGCCAGCCACTCGGGGTCGTACTGCAGCGGGAAGCGGCCGGGGTGTTGGGGCGGCGTGGACGGCGGCGCGACGGGGCTGCCGTCGTGGGGGTGGATGTCGAGGAGCTGGAGGAAGTGGCGGCGCGGGAGGCACTTGTCGAGCGCGAGGAAGCGGACTTGATTGTTCGTGATTGTCGCGGGCACAGGCTGGCCGGGTGTCGTCTTGGGCTGGGGTTTCGGTGCGGCAAACGAGGCAGGAAGCTGGGCTCGAAGGTCGGCTGAGACGTTGCTGACGGGCTTTGGCGTGTCTTCGGGGTTGATAGTTGGTGCCGCAGGGGCAGGTTCGTCGTCGTCGTCATCATCGAGGCTGATCTCGTTTGGGTTTGCTGTAGTGCTCGCAGCCGCAGTGGGAACAGCGTCATCATCGTCGTCGTCGAGGTCAATCTCCTCTGGATTCGCCTCCGCCACTGTAGTCGTTGTAGCAGCAGCAGATGCTGTTCCATGTGCTTGCGTCTCAGATTTGATGCCACCATCCCTTGTCTCGGCGCCAGCGTCCCCCAGATCGAACCGCTTCAGCGCGGAGAACTTGCAGTGCAGATGCGCCGAGAACCAGTACGGTGGCCTCAGTCTGTCGAGCACATACTCGGCAGCAACGTTCCCTAGCGTGCCGTCTCTCGACTCGGCCTCAAAGTCGGGCTTCATCCTCCAGAGCGCCTTTTCGTCTCCCCACTTCTCAATGGCCCGCGGCCAGTCATGGCTGATGCCGACATCGACCTGCTCCCTGATAAGCAGCAGCTTTCGCACATCAACCTCGCGGACGTGGTAAAAACTCTTGACGTCATCCGCGCCAAACGGCAACCTCTCGTGATGCGCCTTGCGGTAGTCAAAGCCCTTCCAGATGCCGCTCATGCCGGCGATGCGCAGCGGCCCGAGGCGCAGCACGTTGGCGGCTCCGAGGTAGTAGATGTTGGGCGCGGCCCAGCCCCCGTAGTAGAGTTCCCAGAGGTGCGACGCCGCCTCGTGGTTGCCGCCGGCGAACAGCGTCAGGTACGGCGCCGTGCGCGCGCCGGCGTAGTACTCCCAAAAGTCGCCCATCTCGCGGTACTTGGCGGGGACCGACATGACGGTCAGGTCGGCGGCGTTGCGAACGGCCTGGAAGTCGCCGCCGATGATGAGCACGTCGACGCCGTCCCAGCCGCGCGCCTCGCATGACTTGGCAACCGCGGCGTAGATGGCATTGAGCGTGCCGTGGCCCTGCAGGTCGTCAGACGGCTGCTCGACTTGTGAGCAGGATGGAGGGAAGAACTCACACAGCCTTCGACGGCGACGCGGACGCCTTGGGTTTCGAAGGTTTGTGTTGACATGATGCGCTTGCCGGGCACGTCGGGGGATGTTGTGAAGTTGAGTTGACAGGCAGGCAAGGCAGGCAAGGCAGGTTCGTGGGAGCTCCACCAAAATTTATTTGCTTGATTGCACGCACTTGACAACCGATCTGTGACACACCTCGGGGCACAGCACTTTCGCATCTGGACTACAATTCTAGAAAGGCACAATTCTCAGCTTTGGACCGCACTTGCTATAGATTGAGAAGGAGAGATGGGTATTTTCGCTACAATATAAACACAAACCAACAAGCGCCCGACAGGCCTCCCAAGGCACACGCAACCTACTCATCCTCCCATACCTAGGCACCTACGGAACGCTATACCTTTTGATAGCCCTCGCTGATTTCACCCTTGGCAGCCAACTGCTCGTGGAACGCCAACAGCTTGTCCGCTCCTATCTTCCAGCTCCAGTCGTTCTGCAGATGATGCCCTGCGCCCTCGACCCAGGTCAGCCGCACACCCAGGCCCTCGTCATCCTGTCCTCCCACTCCAGCCATCGTCTTGACCTCGTCAACCTTGGCATCTAGCTTTTTCGCCGCGACCAGTCGACCAACAGACTTGCGGTAGGTGTCGGCCAGCTGTACCATAATGTCGTGCGTCATCAGCTTGTCCAGAGTGCCGGTCATGACCATGATGCGGTCGCTGCTGCCCCAGCCCCTAATGGAACTGATGAGGCTCTCGGTGTTGACGAATGGCCTCATCATCGTCAACGGCCACCAGAAGCTTTCGTAGCGGTTCGAGTGCAATTGGAACTCTATAAGCTTCGTCGTGGGGTAATCATCGCTGAAGAAGGCCCGCCTGGTCAGGAGCGGATGCGAAAGGGGCGAATTCGAGTGACCGCCCTGAAGCCACATGCGGATCACGAAGAGAGGGTCGAATCTCGCCCAATTGAGGTACACACCAAATCTGTACATCATCAGCCAGATGTCAAAGTGCCATCGGAGCACGGTATTCACTCACGATCCAAAGCCCGGGACAGCTCCTAGCAAGGCCAAGCCCTGTGCGTGCACCTGCTGCGCGCTAAGGATCCCTTGGAGGAGTCCGCCGCCGCTGGAATGCCCGACGAGCAGCGCCTCCTCTCCATGGCGTTCCTGTACCCAGCTAATGGCGGCAACGGCATCGCTCGCCAGCTGGCTCCTCGTTGTGCCGTAGACCATTCTCAGGTACGAAGGGTGCCAGCTGTTGCCGTGGCCGCGCAAGGAGACGGCATAGCAGGGCACGTTGTGCTCGGCGAGGTGCTGCATGTATTCGGTCCAGACCCAGGCGCTGCCCATGCCTCCGTGGACGAAGACTATGGGAATCTTGCCTTTTGATGGTTCTGCTGGTTGGTTCGAGAGGACCTCGAGCCTACCAGAGGGTGTCTCGATCCAATACCGTTCCAAGCCGGCTGGGGCATCAGGCGTCTCTCCTGACGGACGTGTCCAGTACAGCCAACTGTAGGAAAGCTGGAGGTTGAGCATGTCGAAGTAGTGTCGAAGTGCGCTTCAGTCAAGGTGACAAGTTTGGGGTCGCTTCGAATTATTTTCTGATAATACAGTATTGGGTGAAGGCTCCTTTTGGTATTGCAGTGACTCCAACTCCTCCAGCTCCTCCAAGATGGGCTGGACATCACTTCTTGTAAGAAACGACGCCTGTGCAGCTTGAGGCCTCGCGCACACGAGCTGAGTGTTCCAACTCCAAGCAAACCCGAGTAGTCCTCGCGCATGCGCAACATCGGCTGGCTCCGGGCAAGGAGTCATCGTCGTCGGGACGGCCAGGGACGGAACCACCCTCCCTACCCCTACGCCCACTGTAAGCACAGCGATTCGGGCGCTGTCGATTGGCCCGCCAGCGCCTCTGAGGACCAGCTGAACTCGTTTCCAGGGGTTGCCCGGAGACTTTGCCTGGCGCATGACCAGAATAGATTGACTGGTGAGTAACGTAACGACTGGAGTACGCTACTGCTGCATAGCAATGCTGCACCTGCAGAGACGAAGCTTTGAATGTATTCCTGGTGATGGATGCTTGTTCACGGGCCGATGGGCCAGGATTTTGGATGAGTCGTCATCGAGCCAAGACGAACAATGCCAGTGTTACGGCCATGCCGAGTATGACTCTGATCAACTGGCAGGATCGAATCACTTTTTCTCGTTCAATACATGGCCAAGTCGATATAATGCGCATTGCAATCGAAGGCTCTCTACGCCTCGGTGCAAGGTACAGCTAGAAAATGGAAGCTGCCTGGGCACAGCTAGCAACCCAGCGCGAAGCTTGAGCAAGTCACTTATCTTATCGCTTCCGACAATTCACCGACAGCCTCCCACCGAGCATCCCCACGCAAAACTTCAACCCAGCTCGCCGCCCCAAGTCAGCCTCGCGCGTAGCCGGCCTCACCACCCTCATCACCGATTTTTTTTCCCCCCGCCCCGAGAGCGATGGTGTAGAGCTGAGGAAAGAGATCTCCCGGTTGGAACAGTCGGCGGTCGAGTGATAGGTAGGAGGTCGAGGTATATCCGGAGTTATGGCTTATGTACCACTTTCTAGGGCAATCTCGAAGCCTCGGTCCCTACCAGCCCGGCCACATCTCAGTACTGTAACTGGTGACTTCTGGGAGATATACACATGGGTTGGGATTGGGAGCCATAGAAGAGCAGAGTGAGTAAGTCATGTCAGGGTCAGT